TTGAGAGTAGGATGCATTCATCATGCTCTTTTAAATCTTCATAAAAAGACATCTTACATAACCATTAAATACATCAAATTTAGGAAATTTACTATTGACAGAACACATATCCAATCTATTGATCATTTTCCAGTTTGCAAATTGTTCTTATAGCAAGATCATGTACAGTATTGCACTAGTTGCCACGTCTCTTTGGTCTTTCTTCTCTTTCTCTTTTTAAATCTGGAACACTTTCTTTGTCTTATTGACAATGATAGTTGAACAATAAAGACCAATTATTTTATAAAAATGTTAACATTTTGACAGGTTAAGCATGTATTACAATCTCATGGATAATGACCATGAAACTAATGAGACATTCGCTTCTGTCTCCTTTAGGAAGACAAGCTGGCTTTTCTGCCCTGGTGGTGCTTGTTGTGTTGGTTATGTGATTGTGTTTTTGTTAAAATTTACAGAACCGTGTTCTAAAATGTGTGAAATTTATTGTATGTAAAGTATACCTAAACCATAAAAATGCTAGTCTCTAAAAGTTGAATTCTGTCTGAATATTCCACCAAATTATATGCTTCAAGTGTTTTATTCTGGTGCTCAATTAAATTTTAAAAACCTTGGATTGTCGCTTGGGAGACATGAAACTATTTTTTTTGCGACGTTGTCTCACTCTGTTGCCTAGGCTGGAGTACAGTGGCATGATCTCAGCTCACTGCAACCTCCGCCTCTTGTGTTCAAGGAATTCTCCTGCCTCAGCCTCCTGAGTAGCTGGGATTACAGGCATGTGCCACCACGCCCGGGTAATTTTTTGTATTTTTAGTAGAGACAGGGTTTCACCATGTGGGCCAAGCTGGTCTTGAACTCCTGACCTCCGGTGATCCACCCACCTCGGTCTCCCAAAGTGCTGGGATTACGGGTGTGAGCCACCGCGCCCGGCCAGATTCCTGGCCTGAAACACATTTTTTAAGTCTATTGCTATATACTTAGGGACAAATATTGTTGTTAAAGGTAGAGAAAACAACATGTTTTGAAGAAAAGGAAGTGTTGGTGGGGGTGAGGTAGGGGCAGTTGCTTGTCTGTCCTGGAAAGGCAATTTCTTACTGCTTCATACCCTGGTATATACCCGTTTTATACCCATTCCATTCTTTCTAGAAACACCGATTTCTGTCCTCATTGTTTTTATATTTCTGTCTCCTATTGTCATGTTTTATGAGCAAGTCGTAAAGGGAGGAAGAGGGAAAACAAAGTTCTGAGGCTTTCTTAATCTACTTGCTCAACCTCCATTTTTAGTAACCATAAAGAATTTGGTTCTTTTTTTTTAGTTTCCTCTTCTAGCAAGAAGTCCCACCACATGCCATCCACCTAGCCACTTAATGCTCGCTGAACAAGTCAAATCTACAGCAAATACATAGTCTTGTTTTGTACTTTTTTTTCAAACGTTATGTAAAAGGTATACTGTAAAATCTTACTAGAACTTCTTTCACTCAATACGATTTTTAGATATACCTACACACATGTAGCGACCCATTCACTTTAACTTGCACTGAATAAATATATCAGAGGTACTCTTCTATTTCCCCACTGACAAGATACTTGGCATTACCTACTCTAGACGACCAGGCAGCAACTTCTTCTTATGCTGTTCTTGCGCTGTTGTTTGTGCTAGAATTTCTCCACAGCGTATTTTGTAGGTGAAATTACTGGATCCATGTGTATGTCTACATCTTCAGCTTTACTAGACATGGACAGATTCCCCTGCAAAGAGGTTGTACTCCTTTTCCCTCCCACCAGCTGTGTAGGACAGTTCCCATTTCTCACCAACAGTTGCTATAACTAGACTTGGGTATTTCTATCAAAAGGATGAGTATAACATTGTATCTTATTGTTGCTTTGGTTTGTATTTCCCTGAGTTCTAGGGCAGTTGAGCTCAGTAAAGAACTTAACCCCATCCTTTGCCTCGTTGTTTGTAATTGGGGTATGTTTTCCTTATTGTAGTTCTTTAAATGTTCTGGATGGCAATCCTTTATTAGTTAGACCTTTATATTCTCCCATTCTGAGGCTTATGCTTTTGCTTCTTTAATACTGCTCATTAGTTTTTCAAGTTTCATTTTTTGTAATTTAAAAATTGATATATAGTAGTTGGACATATTTTGGGGGTCCATGTGAGTTTTGAAACTTGTAAAATGTGTGATTATTAAATCAGGGTACTTGGGGTATCCATCACCTCAAACATTTTTCTTTGTGCTAGGAACAACACAAATCTCTTCTATTTTGAAACTTACGATACATTATTGATAATTTCCCTACTGTACTTCATTGAACTGATTTTTAAAACATAAAACCACAACCAGAGTATATATTTTTATCACATGTGCATTCCTGGTTGCCTGGCGTGCTGCTGTGTCAGCCTCTCCCAGATCCAGGCTGATGACACTTCCTGCCACGAGGAATACTAGAATACTGCCTGTGGTCATGGGAGGTGAAGAGAGACCTAACAGTTCACTTGGATGCAATGAAATACAGCCATCCCTCAGCACCACGGGAGATTGCTTTCAAGCCCGCTCACAGCTACCAAAAACGGCGCGTGCTCCATTCGGCCACTCCGTGGAACCTGCATATACTCCATGCAGCCACTCTGTGGAACACAGGTATTCCATATGGTCTGCGGGACCCGTGTTGTTCAAGGGTCAACTGCACTGTTGCTCACTAGTTACATGGAGGTCAGAAAAGAAAATCAAACCTCTTCACTTAGCAGAAGTTTTTTGCTTTTTTAATTTTTCCCCGAGACAGTCTTGTTCTGTTGCCCAGGTTGGGGTGCAGTGGCGTGATCTTGGCTCACTGCAACCTCCGCCTCCGGGTTGAAGCAATTTTCCTTCAACCCGGATTGTAGCTGGGATTACAGGTGCCCACCACCATGCCTGGTTCATTTTTGTATTATTAGTAGAGACAGGGTTGTGCCATGCTAGCCAGGCTGGTCTTGAACTCCTGACCTCGTGATCTGCCTGCCTTGGCCTCCCAAAGTGCTGGGGTTACAGGCGTAAGCCACCACACCTGGTCAAACAGAAGTTTTTTAATGCAGTCAGATATAAATTTGATTTGTTGCTGTGCCTTCTCATAATCTATATACCATAAAATACACTTTACATTTAATATGTAAAGTTCAGTGATCTCCAGTATTTTCACCAGTTGTGAAACGACAACCACTATCCAATTCCAGAGCACTTTCCTCACCCATGGCTGCCATGGAGTTTCACAAAGAAAACTGCCAGTTCTTCCCAACCTCCAAGGCCCTGGCAACCACCAATCTATTTGCAACTATTTGCCTATTCTGGGCATTTCACATATGTGAAATCAGTTATGTGCCTGACTTCTTTCCCTTAGCACTTCAAGGTTCACCCACGTTATAACATGCATTAGTACCTCATGGCTGAATAGTATTTCCCCTGAAAGGACATACTGCTGTTTGTCCAGTTTTCAGTTGAGGGAAATTTGGGTTGCTTGCATTTTGGGCTATTATGAATCATGTCGCTATGAACATTCATGTACTAGTTTTTGTGTGGACATGTCATCAATCCTCTTGGATATGTGCTTAAGACTGACATTGCTGGGTTCTATGTCTGACACTATGATGAACAGTCAAGAAGTGTTCAACCAGCGTCTGTACCGTTTTACAATCCCACCAGCCGTATATGAGGGCTCCAATTACTCCACATTCTTGCCAATACTCACTACTGTATTATTATTGGCTGTTAACCTTTAAGAAAGGCAGCCTAATGGCCTGCTACAAAGAGGTATAGGCATTCTTAGAAAGTTTAGGCCCTTTCAAGGCTCATCTCACCCTGTCGAAGAGGCTGTGAAATCAGGGAGGCTGAAGATCCGGTGTTCTTTGTATGCTTCCCTTCCCTGCTCTTCCTTCAGAAATGGGTCCTGCTTCATTGTATTAACTTCTCTTAGGTCTTTAACAGATTAAAGAGAAAAGACTCCTTATTTAAAAGAAAAAGTGCATCCACCCATATATTCAACAAAAAAACACTTCCCTTGTGTCCAGCTATGGGTAAAAGGGAAAGTGAGAGGGCTTTTCCAAAAAAGGTGGAAGATGGGAAGATGGAATAATGGAGACAAGAATTCGGAGTCCATTAAGTTACACTTCAGGGTCTTTCTGCAACTTTCAACACCAACATGGGAACGAGTGAAGGAAAGAGCAGTGGTTCCCAAGCCAGGTACTGAGGCTCTGCACTTTTAAGAGGGTGTTTCCTGTACTGTAGTGTAAGATCCAGCACCATTAGAACCTGTGTAAACGTCTCACAGCAGGAAAGGAACACAGGACAGGAAAAAAAAAAAAATCAGGAAAAGCAGAACCTAGGGAACCTAGGGTGCTGGTTTCTCTAGTTTGTTAGATACTGCATTCAAAAGTCAAGCCTGAGGCTGTATGACTCGAAAGCAAATAGGTGAGCAAAGTTGGGAAAATGAAGTCCAATGAAAAATTAAATCCCCAAATAAATTCTCAACACATTAAGCTCATGAGAAGAGTCTCTACCCACCTAGCATCTACAGTATCCCCCCCACTCAGGGAGAAGCCAATTGCACGAGTTGCTCACATCTCCTGGGACCACAGTTTAGACCCCAAATGGCTCTCTGGTACCCCTACTCAGGCAGAGGTGATAAGGCCAAGACCTTCCAGAAAAAGGGGGACAGGGCGCCGGCAGTTGGGAATCACTCACGTACTTGCCTCTAGGGCGACATCTGCTACTCAGCTCCTTGGGAGAAGATACACACAGGGCTTCCAGGTCTGAAATTTCGTGAGGATCCAGAACTTTTAGGCTCTTTAACATTTCCTCTATTTAAAAATGCTCCCATCACGGGTTTTTGAAGGCACTGCACTGGCCCAATTTGGCCCAGCAGTCACAGTGCAGCCCCTGAACTGTCCACCTCAGAGACTCCCTTTCCATCCAGTACAGTGCACACACCCTTATTTACTATGGATTAAAGGACCACACAGAAACACTGTAGCCATGGAAAACCCTCTTGTTTATTTGATTAAACAAAAATAAAATAAGCTGCATAGGAACAATTTTAAAGTCCAAAGAGACACCAACTTTGTTTTAAGGCTGTAGTAGCTGATACAGCATCTCCTTGCTACCTTCTCCAGCCTTCTCTGTGGACCACAGCGATACATTCAGAAGCCTGTTAGCTCACACAGGAGTTTCTGAATACTTTTCCATTGGTTCTTCACCTGCTCATTGCCTGTCATGCCTGCGGCCTGCAACAGTTAACATTTAAGATTTAAAATGTGAAAGCCAAGAGGAAGGGGGGAAAAAACCAAAACCAACCAAACAAAAACTCACTTTTGCCTAAAGATTTGGGGAGAAATCTTCATTTCCCCACCCATCTACTGAATTGATGGGATTCACATTACCATGGCAATGCCCATTTCAAAGCGGCAAACGGCAGTCAGCACCCCACCCCGGACGGGCTTGCACTGTGGTTTCTGCAGCCAGGGGAGTTACTACGGTAGTGCATATTCCTTATATCATGTCTGCCTTGGACAAATACAAATTAAGAGGTTTAACTTAGTCATTCTAACATAAGGCAACATGCCCAGGCTAATTCCCCCAACTCTGTGTTTACTTAAAAAAAAAAAAAAAAAAAAAAAAGACAAAAAGACTCAACCGAGTCATATGTTCTACAGTTAAAAATTAAAGCATTTTGCTGACCCGGCATGAGAGCTAATGGACAGTATTAAGCAAGATTCAGTTTCACAACCCTCCCACCCACCCAAGTATAACTAACATGCTAGTTAAAAAACAACACCCCTTACCCACCCACCCTCACCTGCATCGATTTTAGGAGAAATGGGGAAAAAAGAAAGGAATCTTACCACCCTAAAAGCAAGAAAATCCCAGAAATGTGAAAAATCTTCCTCTGAAGAAGACAACTACACAGACGGCTAGAAACACAAAGAACTTACAGAGTTACAGAGCTGGTTATTTAAAGAAAGTAAACACTTCGCTACACACATCAACATTCAGTCAGTGTGCTCTGAGATAGAGTCTTCAGAAAAATACTACCTGAGCTTGTAAGTTAATACAATCATTAAAAGGAGGTCTACGACCATGTGGATACACAAAACTTTTAGAACCATTATTGGTTAAATGATGATGGAAAACATCCCACCAGGCTGGCTTGTTAACCCGTAAGATCAGTTTTAAAAATAGACATCATTGAGGTATTTCTTCACCATGACATTTATAAGCCCCTCATGATAATGACAGTGGTCTTAGGACCCTCCTCTCTTCCAACCAACCAAAAATTAGGGCAGAAGAGAGGTGGGAAGGTCAATACAGTATATCCTGGTAATGTGCTTCTCAACTTTATCAAGTATTTAATAAACAAGGAAAAAAAAAAAACCCGTCAACATGTTACCTTTGGTAGAAAAAAATCAAAACACAAAACAAAAGAGCAATACATACTTCAACAGTCACTGCTCAGCCAAAACAGTGATTGCTGCAACATCATGGTGATGAATGTCCTGCTGGGTCCAGAGAGCTACAAATACAATCATGAAGTCAAGAGGATTCTCATTCCCTTCAAATATTTGATGTTTCCAAGAACTAGACCTTTAGAGTTGCTCCTAAAGGGTATTATTTGCAGACATTTGAAATACAGATAAAATATTTTTCTCTTGAAGAGAAAGAGGCCTAAAGGTCTTTGTTTGTAGTTAAGTCCTCCAATAGGCCAGATTAACCAGTAGTTTCATAATACTGAACAATAGTAACGGTATGCATAATTCTTTTGGAGGGGGAAAAGCCAGATTGCGAAGAACTACTTGGATTTATGACTACATTTGCCTGACATTTCTCTTTCAAGGTAAATAAAACATTTCTCCTGGGAGAAATCAGTTGTAGATTTATGGTAACATTTCTTTTAGAGGTAGCTTCCCACTCCCACCCACTCCCCACTGGATTAATACTATTCTTTTTGAGACCTGTCAGATGCTAACATGAGGTAGATGACTTGCCACAAGTGAGGTAGAAACTCAACAAAAGCAGTCAGTGTGGTCTGGAATGCTGTGTCCCATGCCCTTAGCCCTACAGAAAGCCAGAGAAAGCTGTAGAGCTCTAGAGGCCTGGCCCTGTGACACCATCACCTACAAGTACAAGAGTGTGACTTTTATACAGCCCCAGACTGCTGGAAACTCATTCAGAGTGATGTTTTAAATATACCTTAAATATACCCTAAATACTTTTTGGCACCACTGGATTAAAAAATAAAATAAAATCAGAAAAACAAGCCTAAAACTTTGGCATATCTTTCACCACCTACCAGAACAGAGCAATCTTAGAATCTTCCAATGAGGAAGGCAACATATATATAAACAGTATTTTGCTGCTTCAAGCCTAAGAGACTTTCCTCCTCAAATAATTAAGCTTTGGCTTAACTAGAATAAATCCGACTGAGCCGATCTCAAGCTATTCTCTTGCAACTCCATCACAAAGTGCCTCAATTCTGGCAACATTTTTGGCCCAACACGTAATTTGGATTCGGTTTATGGTATCCTTTGTTACGTGTTTTCCCAAGTAAGTTAGACTTAAAAGGGCATTGAGGAGTTAGTGCACTTGGGGTACAGCCCAGGTCACTGTGCTCTAGTCAACTTGAGTGCCACTTGCAGCCACAACAGGGCACACGTTCTGAGACAGCATTAGATCTCGGGACCAAAAATAGCACTTTTGAAATGTTAAGTGTCAAGCAAAAGTAGTTTTTACCTATGGGTTAGATTTCCTTTAAACACCTCAATACCCAAACCTATATATCCAAACCAATGGGCATCTCCAAACAGAAACTGAGCTTACATCATACCCCACCCAACCCTTGCCACCTGACCAGATCAGACCTCTATGGGGACTACTGTCTAATTGTCACATTTACTCCCCAGAAACCTTTTTATTCTCCTACCTCCTAACACCCAGGACCTTATTTTTTCCATCAGGCTGAAGACTCCCTTCTTTGACCCAACTCCTGGCTACCCTGGCATTACCTCATAACGGGCAGGAGATTACGTATTTAAACACAGGTACTTTTCACAGTTTCACACTAGGGACTGCCAAATGTTGGCTTTTATCATCTTTCTTTGATTTGGAACACTTCACATCACACAATGAACTCTCCAAAGTGCTTCGCACCAATCCCTATGGGTCAGGACTCAATTGTGGACAGCCAAAAACGGCCAATGTTTTAAAAACAAAAGCTTTCCAAGTGTGACCATGTTTCTCAAATACCAGCATGCACCATTCTGGATACAGAACGGTAAGGAGATACACCACCACTGAGGACAAAGGTAGTAGTATCTCTGACCTACACATATATTTCAGGGGGTAGTTTCTAGTTGCTCTAAGCCTGCAAATTTTTAAGTCTGTAAATTAAGACCTGATAATTTCAGCCATGGAGCAAAAATCTTGGCTTTTGAATCACATTCATAGTAAAATGTCAAATAAGGAGCTCTAGTTATTGTTACGCACCAAGAACATTTCTCATTCAGGTCCCAAACTTTTTTCCTACATCTGGGGAAATTAGAAAGAAAAGAGCAGAATGAAAATGACTATGAAAGGATTTTAATCAAGATCCATCTCCTCAATAAAATTTTTTTTCAAGCATTTAAAACCAGTTGTCTTTGGTATTTAAAGGGTGGTTTGTTGGGTGGCTGCGGAGAGGGAAGATCAGCACCAAGTTACTCCAAAATAGAAAACAGCAAAAATGTTTAATTATATTAACTCTTTACCAAAAAGAGCTTCATGGCCAAAAGGCAACTGAACAGGCACTGGGGAAGGATTCGCTATTAAATTCTACAGTAAAAGGAGCTTCTAACAAACAAGATTTCTTAACACCTTCCCACCCTGTAACAGCAGCTGGGAGCCAGCAGCAGTTTGAAGTTACTTTCCAACTTTTGAATCTTTTATTGCATGCAGTTCTCCTCTGTGAGATGAGGTTTTTTTTTTCCCCTTCCCATTTTGGTCACTCAGAAACCCTAGAATTAAAGCAATGGGAAGAGACAGCGTAGCTTGTAGTAGTAGCAAATTAAACGTCCAAAAGAGGTATACGGGAAAAGCAACTTGATTGACTTGTCACATTGTCCCCATCATCTCCTTTTCTATTGGGATAATAGAAACAAATTGCTCCATTTGTTAATCTGTTTTGTTCATTTAAAACTATACCCATTTTGCAATAGAAATTTTTCTTAAATAGAGAACAGAAGTTGATACCTAAGTCTTTATTTTTAAACAAGAGGTCTCCCTTATAAAAGTCACTGACGTTTGTTTGCGAGTCCCTCTTTTCCCTGAGGAGGGCTCCTCCAGAATTTGGTTCTTATTTCAGTATTTGGGGCAATGCAGGAACCCACTGGATTCTGACAAGCAGGGTATCAGCGACATCTGCTTTGCACTTGAGAGACAGACAATGCCCAGAAGCACAAGTTTTGTACCCAAGTCCAGCTTACAACCAACCAATCCTGTAAAGTGACACAGATTCTACCCCACAGTTCTGCAGTGGGAGCCTTAAATTTTCATTCTTTGGTACCGAGTTACAGGTTTAAGAAAAGACATTACATCCTACATTTCAGGTTTGGACAATTTGGTTTCTAGATCCTTTATATTCAAAGGCCTTGAGGGGAGGGGGGCGGGGGGATTCATGTTAACCACGAGGTCCTAAAGCATGGCCTGGGTGCAAACAATCCTATAAAAAGTGACCCAAGCAGAGGGTGTGGGACTGGGCTGTTGGTATTATTTTGACTTTCAAACATTGTATTTCCCTGAACTTTCAAAGCAGGAAAAAAATTGTGCTTGTAAAATGAAAGTTCTTTCCTTTGCCTACTCTTCTGAGGAAAAGAAAGGACTACAGAACAACTACAGTTTGGGGGTGCCTTGTTCTTTAATGTGCTCCCTGACTCCCTCAGCACACACGTCCACCCACATTCATGTCCACATCAGTCCATGCCTGAAAACCCTCTCTGAGAATGAGGTTAATTTCCTTCTTCCTTCCATTTAACCCTTTATAACCTAACAGCAAAATAAGAAAGCTTAACTTTTGAGAATACGTTTAATCAAAAATCCTGAGCTACCATCTATATATTTTTTCAAGAAACCAAAGTGTGAAAGGAGAGCTTCTTTGGGAGGCAGTGTGTCATTTTCAGCTACCTGGGTGCAAGATGGCTTTGAAACAAACACGCACACACCCTCCCTTAAAAGAAATAAAGATTATATACCCTAAAACATGAAGGGTCTGCTTTTCTTGGCTAGCAAGCCACAGCCACGACGTCTAAGATTAAGAAAAGATACAGAAGAGGATGTTAAACACACTGAGGTATGAACGGAGAACAGAGGAAATTTCTCTGTTGCAGCATTTAAAAAAAGAGAAGATTTTCCAAAAGATCAAAACGACACAACATAATCTAACCCCATATAAACACAGTATTCTCAAGAACACAGATACTCTATAATTATGCATTTCAAATCCTATTTTTTCCATGTTTTATAGTTTTTTGCTTTTTTACTTAGTAGTTTTTTTTGTGTGTTTCCTTGGCTCAATCTACAGAATACAATCCACCACACACACCCAGTGCCCTCCCAGCCATACGGATGCCAGGCTTGTGCATATCGTGCCCCACGCAGGGGAAGAGGGAAATGCAAACTCCACTGAGGAGGGGAAGAGGGCCTGCTGCAGAAGGAAATGTAAAGATTTATGAGGTAGATAGAAATTATCACTTCACAGGCTCAATCCCTGCAGAAAAGATAAGTACATTCATCTGTAAAAAAATAAAGATGAGGTAGGACTTAAGCAATGTTGTACTTTTCTTGTTCTCTTTTAAAAAAAAAAAAAGAAAAAAGAAATTTCCCTGAGACTGTTTCTTCTTTGAAATTCAAAAAGAGAGAGAGAGAGAGAGGGAGAGAGACGCGCACACACACCCCAAACACAGAAACCTAGGAAATGCAATTAGAAGACTAGGATTCGATTGTTGCCAAAGTCCACCACCACGATCATTCCGTCGGGGGTGATGGCGACGCCAGAAGGGCGGTCCATCTGCCCAAAGCCGCTGCCTTGAGCGCCAAACTTGCACAGGAAGCTGCCGTTGGATTCAAACATCTGTACCCGATGGTTCCTGGAATCTGCCACAATGATGCGCCCTTCCTGGTCCACGGCTACGCCTTGTGGGCGCAAGAACTGCCCATTGCCCGTGCCCTCCGAGCCCAGAAAGCGTGCCGACTGGCAGTCAGGGTGAATCACCAGGAGCCGGTGGTTGTTGAAGTCGGTGACCACCAAGTGGCCCTCATGGTTGAAGGCCACACCCCGTGGGGAGTCAAAGTGCTTCCAGAGAGCCCCCTCGAAGCCATACTTATTTAGGAAGACGCCATCAGGCCCAAACAGCTGGATCCGGTGGTTCCTCGTGTCTGAGACCAGGATCTTGCCCTCAGAATTCACCGCCACATCCCAAGGGTAGTTGAACTGCCCATTCTTGGTTCCTTTCTCACCAAACTTGAGGAGGAACTGGCCCTCGAAGGTGAAGATCTGGATGCGATGATTGTCCTTGTCAGCCACCACGATCCTGCGTGAGGCGTCACAGGCCACCCCGGCTGGCCGGTCGAACTGCCCAGGCCGGGAGCCCAGGGTGCCGAATTTGTGATGGAAGGCGCCGCAGGGCTTGAATACCTGGATGCGGTTGTTGCTGCGGTCGGCCACGATGATGTAGCCCTCCTTGTCTACACTGACGCCCCAAGGGCGGCAGAGCTTGCCATCGCTGTCACCCTCGCTGCCGAAGCTCAGGCCCGGGAGCCCAATGCCCACGTAGCTGCGGCCTGACTTGACCACCACCTTGAAAGGGCTGTTCTCAATGTGCTGGTTGCACAGTGTCACAGATACCAGGTGCTCACCCTCCAGCTGGGGCCGGTAACTCACCACGTATGTCCCGTTCTGCTGATCGCTCACCTCTGCACCAAACAGGTTGCCATCAGGGCCCAGGACCACAGCTGACATCAGGTCACCTCCTGAGAGACGGGGCTCACCATCGTGGTCATAACCAATGACTGTGAAGGAGGCCACCTTACCCTGGAGGGCGCGCTTGAGGCCATCACCCGTGGCCTTGGTGAGTGGTGCAAAGGCCCCGCTGCTAACAAAGCCAAAAGACTTGATGGCAAGGTACAGTGCCTGATCAGGGGGTGTGAACATGACTCGGTCATCTTCCTGGGGCTGCAGGAGGCTCCGCACGGTCTTCAGCTCCTGCACCTGGGCCAGCATCCGGTCGCGGGCCAGCAGGATGTCTAGCGCTCGACCCTCCTCCAGGACCTGCTGCACGGCACTGATGGTACTCTCAAGCTTGTTGAGGTTTTGCCGCAGCTTCTCCACCTGCAGGTACAGAGACTTGGCTTTCACCTGGCGGATCTTTTCTACCTGGAGGGAAAAGCAAGAGTGGAGAAAGACACAGAGGCTTAGAGCCAAGCACAGAAAATACCACATAAGCCACAACTAATCACAAGGAAACATCAGACACACACATATTGGGGGATGGTCTACAGAAGACATTGGGCTTTCTTCAAAGGCAGCAAAAGCAAAATGGACCAAAAAAACCCTGAAGAACTGTTCTGGGTTACAGAAGATAGTTACTAGAAACAGGACAACTATGCAATCAGTGGCTCTGGACTGGGGGGAATGGCTGGGGCTGGGGCGAATAGAGCGCTGTTGGGACAATTGTGGAACCTTGATTATGGACTGAAGAATAGATGCTAGTACTGTATCGAAATCAAATTCCCTGATTTCTATAATTGCAATGTGATTAGGGGTAAAAGCGCTGTGTTTCCAATATGCCAACTCACTCTCGGATCACAAACATATATACATATACATACATACACACGCACACACACAAGATGCACACGCACACGCACGCCTCATGCCTGTAATCCCAGCACTTTGGGAGGACAAAGCAGGCAAGTCATCTGAGGTCAGGAGTTCGAGACCAGCCTGGCCAACATGGCAAAACCCTGTCTCTACTAAAAATAACAAAAGTTAGCCAAGTGTGGTGATGGGCACCTGTAATCCCAGCTACTTGGGAGGCTGATGTGGGGAGAATCCCTTGAACCTGGGAGGCGGAAGTTGCAGTGAGCAGAGATCACGCCATTGCACTCCAACCTGGGCAACAGGGCGAGACTCCATCTCAAAAAACAGTAATAATAATAAATGGAACAAAATGTACATAATCAGTAAATCTGGATAAGGAATATATGGAGTTACTATAATTACTGCAACTTTTCTGTAAGCTAGAAATTAAAGAAACATAAAAGTTAAAACCAGCCATCTAGAGCTGGGCACAGTGGCATGCACCTGTAGTCCCAGCTACTCGGGAAGCTGAGATGGAAGAATCACTTGAACCTAGGAGGCCGAGTCTGTAGTGTGCCATGACTGTACCTGTAAATAACCACTGTACTCCAGCCTGGGCAATACAGCAAGATCCCACCTTAAAAAAATAGCAAGGTCCCACCACCAAAACCAAAAACAGCCATCTGACAAAGCAGTTTACTCAGCACCTACACTTTGTCAGGCATTGGAGGTACTGCCGCAATCCACAGAAAATATAAACTATGGTCCTTGCTTGCGCAGAGTTGTAGTTTAAAAAAGGAGTATTCGAAAGCAAACAAAGAAATAAGGATCATGTCAGACAGTGATAGCCGTTAAAAAGTAGAAAAAGGGGCCGGGAGCAGTGGCTCACGTCTGTAATCCCAGCACTTTGGGAGACTGAGGCGGGTGGATCACGAGGTCAGGAGTTCGAGACCATCCTGGCTAACATGGTGAAACCCCGTCTCTACTAAAAATACAAAAAATTAGCCAGGTGTGGCGGCGTGCGCCTGTAGTCCCAGCTTCTCGGGAGGCTGAGGCAGGAGAATGGTGGGAACCCGGGTGCCACTGCACTCCAGGTGGGGAGACAGAGAGACTCTGTCTCAAAAAAAAAAAAAGTAGAAAAAGGATGTGGAAGACAGTGACTAGGGGCCCTGATACAGAGTGCTGAGGGACAGTGCCTTTCACCAGTTCAGACCTACAGGCTGAGACCAGACAAAAGGCCAAAGGGAGAGCTATCTCAGCAAAGGAACAGCCAGCACGAAGGTCCTACTGCGGGCACAGGCTCAGCATTTCAAAACCACAGCTTTTAGTAGGGGAATGACATGACAGATTCATATTCTTAAAGAATTAGTTTGGGGCCGGGAACAGTGGCTCATGCTTGTAATCCCAGCACTTTGGGAGGCCAAGGTGGGTGGATCACCTGAGGTCAGGAGTTCAAAACCAGCCTGGCCAACATAGTGAGACCATCTCTACTAAAAATACAAAATAAGCTGGGCGTGGTGGCGCCTGTAATCCCAGCTACTTGAGAGGCTGAGGCAGGAGAACTACTTGAACCCAGGAGATGAAGGTTGCAGTGAGCTGAGATCATGCCATTATACTCCAGCCCGGGCAACACTAGCAAAACTCTGTCTCAAAACACCAACACCACCACCACAAAAGGATTAGTTTGGGAAATGTTTATTAAAGGGGAACAAATGAGGGAACAGAGACCAGAGATCACCTAGCTGTGGGTTGGAGGTGGTTTAGCCAACAGAAGTGGCTGTGAAAGTGGAGAGAGTGACAGAGAGTGTCTCTCTGTCTCTGTCTCTCTCTCTCAGAGAGGGATAAAGACTATGTGTTGAGAATGGGCTCACTGCAGCCTCGAACTCCCAGGCTCAAGTGATCTTTCCACCTCAGCCTCCTACGTAGATGGGACTACGCGTGCACCACCATAGGGCATCAAAAAAAATTTTTTTTTTGGTAGAGATGGGGTCTTAATGTTGCCAGGGGTGGCCTCAAACTCCTGGGCTCAAGCAATCTTCCCACCTCAGCCTCCCAAAGTGTTGGCATCACAGGTGTGAGTCGCTGTGCTTGGCCAGTTTCTCTTTACTTCTGTATTTTAAAAACAGTTTTAAAAACCCAACTGGGAACCTGAGAAGTCCTATACCCCAAATTTTAAGATAGCACGCTTTTGGCGATAATTTGTCTATATTATTTCCAAAAGAGCCCTTTAAATCTAAAATGCTATAATATGTATGGACATGGGTTCTAACCTGCCGAAATAATTCCTGCTCGAGGGTCTCAAACCACGCTATTTAGAAATACGAGATTTTGTTTTGCCAGCGAAACATGAGTTTCTCTATTCTTTAAAAGTTCTCTAATTCTAAGCAATTTTCCCCTGTGAAGGGAATGAACTTATCCAAATAGTTTTCACAGAGGATCGTGACTTGAGTTGTTCTACAGATCTGAAAGCCATAGAAGGCTATTTCAGAATAAGCGTCCACTGTTGAAAGGGCTGGATTTCAACCTGACTTTCCCTTTAGGGTGGGAGGGGTGATTATATGATTTCGACTCATTCCTGCTTTTTCATCTGTTCAGTGAACCAGGATACACGTGTACGGAGAGGCCCACGTGGGGACAGATTAAAGAAGCTTTGCCCACTGGGCCAAACTTCCACCTTTGGTTCTTACCCATGAACTATCTATGCAGCTAACCCCATGAGGTAGCTGAGTCCACTGGAAATACATAAGGCCCAAGAACGAAGAGAGGCATCTGGATATTTATAACAGGGTTGTCTTAATCCTTGCACTTACATATCTTAAAGTGAAGTAACCAGAGATGCAGGAAAACAAAACTTGTAACAAAGAGATGCCCAGACACAGACAGGCAAGGCAAGAGGGCTTTGCTGGGAAAGAACAGGGAAAAAAAAAAAAAAAAAAATCAGTAATTAGAGAGGGACCACCACAGGATTTGGAGCAAGGTTCTACAGCAAAAGTGTCCAAACTAAGGCAGCTTCTTTTGGAATGCTCTGAGGATGAATTTTTGGGCACGCACTAACTGCTTACTACAACGAAGAAGGGATTTGACTCTTCTTTCAACAGGCTTCTCCCAAGAGTAAAAACTTGCTACTTCTTCTGAAACAGAACTGCCTTTAGAGAGGACAGTGGGTCAGCCTCACAGGAGGGAGGGTAACTAAGGTGAAAGCGGCAGAAACCCCCACACACAAAGGCCTTTTTCATCAGGAAATCCAGAAGAGCGAGTTTGTGGCAGAGTTCACTACAAAGCTCTCAGGTTGCAAGAAGTGGGCCCCTCAGTTATAATTAACATTCGTGGGTGGCATAACACTGGCAGACCCATGGGGACATCTGAGTGTCTGAAAACGATGTCATACCCACAAAGGTGCTCAAAAAATGTGCTGAATTAAAAACCCTGGACTAACACCTCCAAAGTCTCTTCTTGTCAGACAGCAACTGGGCCATATTCCTTAAGAGGTGAAAAGAGGCAGAAAGCATCCAGTTGTGAAGTTAACTAAATGGAAAATGCAATGCAAAATCCAGCGATGCCAGAAACTGAGGCCCATCCCCACCACCATCATATTGTTTGGAGACGGAAACAGGCACGCTCCACAAGGATACTCTTTTAAGTCAGCTCTAGCCTTTTTCATGTGTTCAGAGAATGTAATTATAGCTAAAGAACTGGCATGGAGTACTGGCCCTTTCATAGACATAACTCTCCTCCTTTCTGAGTGGGGACATAAAATCAGAAAAGGAACAGTTGGAATGCTGGCCTGGGTGGGGCGAGTAGTCCTTCCAGCTGATTTTTATCTAAACCGCACACTAGTGTGCTCGGCACTCCTTCCTGCTCCAACAGGAAGAAAGGGCACACACTCACTGCCTCCGAAGAGGAAAACTGGTTTTCCCCAAGAGGTCAGGAAGTGCAACCAGCCAGGTCACCGAAAATAGGGATGTTTCCTACCAGCCTGCCTTTCTGAACAACAGTTTTGACTACGCTCCCTTCTTTAGCCTCCCTTTGAGTGAATGCAATACAAAGCTGGAGACCGCTTCACCGCTTCCCGTCTTGGCTACCCATGTACTTCTGAAAACCCTTCTTGTTTTACCGCAAACAGCACCCACAATGTTCCAGGGACCCCTGCATCTTTCTGCCAACAGACTTTCTGGAAAATTACCAAATGTTTTACACTTAAGAGCTTGGCTCCCAGATCTGAAAAGAGTCCTGTAGAGCGTTGCTGGGGTTCATGGAAGCCGAGCGGGCACAGCGTGGGTGGGGGAGTGCTCCGTTACCTTCCACAGCAGCTCGCACTCGCGCTCCTCCAGGGCCTTCTTATGCCTCGCAGTCACTGCTTTGACCTCGGACTGCACAACCTTCGCCTTCATCTCCACCTGTTCCGCCACCGTCTGGGCCTGCTCGATGCTCAGCTGCAAAACAAACAAAAAACAACAACTTCGAGGCATTAGAAGGACTGTCATTTGAATCTGCTCTGTCAGACTTGAAAAGCTGACACCCTGGGTTCCCAGACCACTTGATTCACTCCCTTGGAAGGAAAACAGGCACTTAGGGAAGAAACTGGCATCTCTTTGACATGTAACTAAAGGAGTTGCTGGCAAGAGCGGGATTTCTTTGCATGAGAAATGGCACCTACACAGTGAATGTCAGAACTATTAAGAGATACTCTAACACAGTGAAACCACTGTAGCTGGGTGACAGCCGAAAACGGGGAATGAGGATCAGATGTAAAATGTGCAACTCCAGCCACACAAGTGGCTTCCCCAGACTTCCCTGCCTCACTCTCTGCCTGGGCAAAACCCCATAGGCCAGGCCCATCCCTCACATGAGGGTGTGCGATAGGCTAGTGGCTAATCCATCCTGTTTTTGTCAAGGCACTGGCAACAGAGCTCATCCCAGCCAGAACGAATGCCAAGTGCACACTGGGAATATCCCCCGATCTACCTAAGAAGCTGTGCCCCGTGGTCAGAGACCATCTACACGTCACCATACACGTCACCCTGTACCAGCCCTAGTAAATCAGCCAGTTTAATCAGACGTATTATTGTTCATAAAAAATTAATCCAGACAGAAGGCATGGTGTTTTCATTAATATTACATGCTGTGTCTTGAAAAGCCACAAGGATTTCTTTGAGATACCGAGGTATTAAATCAGGGATTCCAAAGTGATTGTTCTTGGTGCAACAGGTTTCAGGCAGGTGATCCAATCAGGAGGGTGTCAGGGAAGCACAAAGGGTTTGGAGCCTGGTATGGGCTTAGGAATCAGAGTGACCAATCACCCAGTTTGCTCTGGACTGAGGGGTTTCTAGGATGTGGACCTTTCAGTGCTAAAACTGGGACAGTCCTGGGCAAACCAGGCTAGTCAGTCATCCCTGGAGTCAGGTAACCCAGGTTCCAATCCTGGGTTAGTTTAGGGCCTCCTACTAGTGGTAAGGCCTCGGGCAAGCTCCTGGTCCTCTCCAACCTTGGTAAAGGGTAGATGTGAGGGAAATGCAGAGCAATGCATGGGTTGAGCTGAGCTCAGCACCTGGCACAGAGTAAAACACTGTTAGTAGTAGTTCTCATCTGATAAACACCTGGGACAAAAGTTCAGCCATTGTGTCTCGTCAGGCCACTTAGCTCCTATCATAAGATTTACCATGAGTCACATTTAGCATGTGCAGTGTTGTGTAATCATCGCCAGTACCTAGCTTCAGAACATTTTCATCACCCAAAAAGCAAAGGCCATAACCATTAAGGAGTCATTTCCACTTCCCTCCTTCTCCCCCATGGTGATCACTAATCTACTGTCTCTACAAATCTGTCTGTTCTGAGCATTTCTCCCTCCCTCCCCCCACCCCTTCCTTCCTTTCTTTTTTAATAGAGATGGGGGAATCTTGTCATGTTGCCTAGGCTGGTCTCGAACTCGTGGGCTCAAGTGATCTGCCCACCTAGGCCTCCCAATGTGCTGGCATCACAGGCATGAGCCACTGCGCCTGGCCTGTTCTGGGTATTTCATATAGATGGCATCATCATACAATACATAATCTACCTTATTTTTATGAGTATTCTTCCTGCCCAACAGTTTGACTCAGTCTGGATGAGAGCTGACACATTCATGGCATGCAAGACACGCTCAAAGGTGCAGCCCCAAAAACACCCATGGTGGCTGGGCACAGTGGCTGACACCTGTAATCCCAGCACTTTGGGAGGGCGAGGCAGGCGAATCACTTGAGCTCAGGAGTTTGAGACCAGCCTGGCCAACATGGTGAAACCTGGTCTCTATTTAAAACAAAACAAAACAAAACAAAAACATGCATGATTCCAGTGGTTAGCTGCCACACTGCATTCCCTGCCTAAGAGGATCCTGTGTGTCCTAAGGATCCACTGAACTGATTCACAGGGGAACTGAGTAGATCCAGAGGGCTCACAGGCTGTCCCCAGCCTGGAATGCTTCACCCTAAATTTCCAAACCCAGTTCTGATGCCACTTCCCTTCTGAAGCTGGAAGGGAACAGCATATTTCTATAACCTTTCTGTGCCACCTTTACAATCCTGTCTCAAGTACCATTACATATTAATCAGAGGAGGAGCTAAGTACAAAGCCCATGATACTTAAGGCACCTGGGATTTAGCAGAACAATTAGCAGAACGATCTATAAATTTTATATTTGCACATCTCTAGCCATAATCATGTTTACCAAAGCACTAGGTAGCTGCGTCAGGTTAAATATTGTCCCTCCAAACTCTGGGCTCAACTAAATGGGGGCCAGGATGTGACCTTGTGTGGAAATACGGTCTTTGTAGATATAATTAGCTAAGATGAGGTTATAGTAGATTAAGTTGAATCTTAAATCCCAAAACTGATGTCCAGAGAGGGTCATGTGCAGACCCAGATACACAGAGAACAAAGCCATGTGAAGACCAAAGCAGAAATGGAAACTGATGCAAGTACAAGCCAAGGATGCTGGCAACTGCCAAAAGCCCGGATGAGGAAAGCAATGAGTCTTCCTGAGGGCCTTCAGAGGGAGCATGGTCCTGACACCTTGACCTTGGACTTCCGGCCTGCTGTTTTTAGGTAATCCAGTTTATGGTAAATTGTTACAACAGACCCGATAAACTAATACAGAAGCCAATAACGTGAAGCAGACAGATATTACATCCACATTACCTAGAAGTTCAAAAATTAGAATGGCCAATCAAATGAGCATGCACATAAGCAGGTATCATAATAGCACTGATACACTTGTAGTATCTCAGGCTGTCAGGATTCATCCAGGGAAAAACAGAGAAAGCGAGAGACGGCAAGAGAGCTCCCTAGACATTTAAACAGAATTTAGCGTAGGGAAATGGTTAAACAGGTATGGGAGAACTGCTGGGGCAAAGAGCACACGGAGGCAGACAGTACCTGCAGAAGCAGCTTCTTCTGCTTGTCTGAGAGAACAAAGGAAAGAAAGCTGTGGTTACAAGAACACAGAATAAGGTGGCAAGGTTACGTCCAGCTAATTCTGGTAGTGGCAAGATGTGAAATTGAAACCAACTTCTGCTGTCGGAGTGAAAAAGAATTGCTATTAAGAATTGGGGCCGGGTACAGTGGCTCACACCTGTAATCCCAGCACTTTGGGAGGCAGAAGGATAGCTTAAGCCCAGGAGTTTGAGATCAGCCTGAGCAGCAGTGGAGGGGCCAGGGGCCCCGACCCCTGCTCTGCTGCGCCGGGTTTTTTTTTCCCCTTCCGTCAGTCTCTACAAAAAAATAAATAAATGAATTAGCCAGGCACGGTGGTGCTTGTCTGTAGTCCCATCTACTTGGGAGGCTGAGCTGGAAGGATTGCTTGAGTCCTGGAAGATCGAGGCTGCAAGCAAGCTGTGACTGTACCACCGCACCCCATCCTGGGTGACAGAGCAAGACTCTGTCTCAAAACAAATACATAATATGATAATAATATAATTAAAATGAATTGGAAGAAAAAGGGAAGAAGTCCTTTTCCCATACATGTAGTTTGAAGAGTCACAGCCCTAGTATCACATGGCAAAAGTGTGAAAGGGTTAAAGCCCAAAGAGTAGAACTTAGTAACTGGCACCCTCTATATTTTTAGATGTGTTGGTTATTAATTAGCACAACTGGTGTCCAAGCTAATATTTGACCAAGACAACCAAACCTATGTCTGTAAGATTTCTTAATCATTCCTCAATAGAAAGCAGAGGTGGCAAACTAGTATTAATGTCATACTACTTGCCAAACTGATTTTTTTTTACATCTAACGTCTATCAGAAATTTAAAAAAAAAAAAAAAAAAAAAAAAAAAAGGCCCAGCCTGGGCAACAAGAGCAAAACTCTGTCTCACAAAACAAAAACAAAACCAAACAAACACAAAACCACTCCCTTTGCACAGGAATGGGTGTACTACCCTAACTCACCTCTTCCCCTAGTCTCCTAGCCAGGCTTATCCCTCATGTTTGGAACTCACATTTTATGATAAAAACGGTTCCTTCCATTTTTCAAACAGGTTCAGGGGATTCAAAGCTTTTGTTGCAATTTTAATAATCAGCAAGCATGCAAAGATACTCCTTGGGCTGAGAGTCACAAAAGCCCTACCCAATGCATAGTAGAAAAATAGGTCTTTCCCTTCCAAACTATGCAGTACCCAGCCAAGCACCGCATTCCAAGATGTGCAGACCAGGACTTACTGAAATAGTTTCCAACCTCTAACAGCAGGGCATTTGAAGAAATATAAGGCAGATGGGTTGGGGGAAATGACAATGTAGAAAGGCTGGGTAAACTTCCAAAACAGATAAATACACTTCACACTAAGGAAAGAGAAATCACCCAACAAGCATGGTGTTTGAGAGAAAATTTAACCATCTTTGAGATGTTAACAGATCGAATCAAACATTTGAAAGTTGAGGGTCTCCATTTGGACTGGCGCGTCAGTGCACTTTCCAGTGCACTTCCTCACTCAGTATGGAGGAGACTCGAGCCAAATCTGGCTTTGAAGGGAAAGAATACAGATATCGATCAGTGATGCCAACTGTGGAGAACAGTGGTGGCATAATAACCTGTATTTAAAGAGACCAATGGTCAGAAGGTAAGAGAATGCAAACATCACCCATACACTTGCAGGCAACCATACCGGGTATGGGGAGCTACTGTGGTCCACTCTAAAATGTAATTCTTGGCCAGGCGCAGCGGCTCACACCTGTAATCCCAAAACTTTGGGAGGCTGAGGCGGGTGGACTGCCTGAACTTAGGAGTTCAAGACTAGCCTGGCCACCATGGTGAAACGCCATCTCTACTAAAAACGCAAAATTAGCCAGACGTGGTGGTACATGCCTGTAATCCCAGCTCCTCACCTGAACCCGGGAGGCAGAGGTTGCAGTGAGCCAAGATCTGTCACTGCGTTCCAGTCTGGGGAACACAGCAAGACTGTCTCAAAA